GGATGGATGGATGGATGGATGAGACAGAATAGATGGATGATTGAAAATGGAAGGACAGAAAGATAGATGGATGGATTGATGGGATGGAATGGATGGAAGGAAATAAAAGCCAGTTCTTACCATCAGATTGACAGATTCAATGACGTCCAAGAACACTTCATTCTTACGGTACTTGATATTATCTCCTCTCCATGACACAGCATTCGTTAGCGCAGGTGGTGGTTTTGGTGCTAACTCTAGCTTATGTCCTTCCTGTGTAATATATCTATTAAGATAATATTCAATTAATCAATAATAGACACCAAAGACCTTCAAATAGATTATTTAACAATTATTCGCTGAAGGCGAATTGATTATCAGGGAATATTTACCAAGACACGAGTCTTCGAGCAGCAAGGTAAATATTCCCCAATAATCACTGAGCCTGAGGCAAATAATTGTTTTAGTATAAATACACAGGAAAAAAGAAGATAAAAGGCATTTTTTCCCGGTAACAGTGACAAACCGGCTGGCCGCCATTTTGGATTTTCGCTCCAGGTGGTTATTGTGTGATATTGTGAGTTTCTTGACCAATCAGCGCACGAGATTTTCTATAATCACCTGCATATTTTTACTAAAATCCTCTATAGGCCCCTTTACACTAATTCCCATTCTTGGGGTCAAAACAAAACAAAAATGGTAGGTTCTCTTGCTAGCTGAACGGTGAATTTTGTTTCAGCCAATCACAGTGCATTTAGCTGCTTTGCTGCAGGCCCTCATTCCCAGACTATTTGCATATTTTTCTGTTTATCATTATTATTACTATTTTTATTTGACTAAAACGTATTATACTATATTATATTATAGGAAGAATGAAAACAATCTCACTTTACTGGCATGTTTACTTCATTCTTTCAAGCTCTAAAATTGCTTAGGGCCAGTTATTTTGTCCACCCATGCTTTGAGCGTCACTTTCACTGCTCAGCTGGTGAGGATTGAGTGTTTTTGTTTATGCTTACTCTTGGAGAATCTTTGTCTCAGTAAACTGTGGGTACCCAAAGTCTATCAACTCATCCATCAGCTCGTATATGATCACAAAGTTGTCACGGATACTTTCTTCCTCAAGCTCTTTGAAGTAATCTAAAAACACCTGAAAAAAATTGATCAAATTAGAGTGGTTTTCATAAACCCGTGAAATACACTTTAGCTTATTTAGTACTGTTACACTCTAATTTTATCGTGTTTTTCTAACTATTACACTTCGTTTCAAAGGTTTATGGAAACCACTATACTCTTAAAAAATTTATTAGGCAACATATTTAAAATTCAAAATTTTCTTCTTTTTTTTTTAATATCAAGTTATAAACTCTGTGCTTATTGTATACCCATTCATAAGTGCTTTTTGATGAGTTTATAACCAGAAGGAAAGAGATTTTTTAGATAAAAGAGAAAGATATTTTTTAATTCAATTTTTATGAGCCATCAATGYCATAAAGACGAGAAACCAAAGGTAACCCAGATCAAAAGCCAAGTGTTTGCAGATAAGTGACCTTATAGTCAGGGGGGAGGTGAAATGGTGGTGTGGGGGGGGGGGGGGGGGTGAGGGGCATATACACCTAATTGAAAAAACGTAGTTGGGTTCGAGAAGGTCATATCATCGAAGCTAAGATGGAAAAGGATTTTGGGTACTTCAAAATGTGTATTATATATAGACATGTAAAAATGCACAGTAGAGCAAAGTCAGTCGACCTAGATTAACGACATGCCAAAGCCTTGATGCATAAAATGTGCACAGGAAGGGAAAACTGCAATACGCATCAAATTAGCATAATTGTTTGTCTTCCCATGCTCCCATTCGGTCTTAGCTTTCATTATATAACCTTTTTTTGAACCAGACAACACTTTTTCAATTAGGTGTATCTTACATCGTATATATCATACATACTTGGACCATCTTGTGCAAGAAGACAAATATAAGCGCTACATTGGCATTCTTCTTCGTTGTACAGACAACTGTTAATGCACAGGTCAAGGAAGAATGCATATATTTATCAACAATTTATTACATGTAGATTTTAAGGACAGAGAAAAGTACATATTACGGCTTGGAATTACTTTGTCAGAGAGTTTTGAACCAGGGTATACACCTATTTCAGAAATCGTTATCGCACCAAAAGCCTCAAGGAACAAGCCAAGACTGCAGAGAATGCCAGTACTTTAAGCTGTAATTAGTTTATTCATGGTGCATTTTCATTTATTGACTTCACAAATTGCTCCAAGCAAGGCTGCTTGAGATGTTAATTAGTGTAGAGCTATAGCCACTTGCATGAACCATGAATAGATCAATAATTATAATTGAAAGTACCTACGTCCTCTGGAGCCTTTGCTTGTTACTTGAGGCTCTTGGTGCGACAACGGTCTTCAAAATAGGTGTATATGCTTAGCTGATTGAAATGTGAATGACGGGAAGCTGATACAGTGTTACATCATTCTACACCATGAAGAGCAGTTTTCATATGAGTGGGAAACATACAACTATGACTTAATTGCAAGATGTACATTGTACAAAATGCCCTAACATTGAAACAGCTTCCCATTGTTTTTGAGTTCATCCTCTAATCAAAGAAATACTAGGTACTGTATTTTTCCTACTCATAAGAAAAAAATTTATATAACTTGCAATAGTTACGACAGAATCTGAAAAACAGGAAATCATACGAAAACTTGTTGAATAGTTTGGCTTATTGATCACATGATCTAAAAAAATGAACTCAAAACGTACATATTAGATTAAAGGATACGGTATAGGTTATTGTACTTGATGTACACGAACGTAACTTCGCCATGGACACAGATCGGTGACTGAGTATCACCCTCATCTTCCTTCTCCAAAACCAAAGGCATAAACTTGTCAATGGACGAATTATCAATGTCGCCTCGATAATTCCTTGAAATTATGACCTGAAACAGCAAAAAATAAGCAAATAAGCACTTATATATTAAAAGATGTGTCAATTGAACGATTCGGGTCAGTAGTGGAAGATTTTAAAGGTTTTTATGGGCTAATTTGGAGAGTATCTAAGCTTACCTTTCCCTTCACGTCCAACACGTAGACGGCAGACATCGCCATTTTGAACGGGTAAATTTGCGGGATCCAACCAGAAATACTCACTGAACTACAAGTTAAAAAACACAGAATATATTAACTAATACATTCCTAGAAGGCCTATAAAATAATCTTAAAAAATACCTTAAAAAGGAAGGGTTTTTGAAGAAAGAAAATTGGATCTTATTAAAACCTCGGTGATGCTGATCAAAACCGACGTGAAAAAATATTTCAGGAGTCGGGTAGGGAGTTAATTATGTCACACATGTTTAAAAATTGTCTAACGCTTCAAATTCAGCTACAAATAATAAATAAGAAGCATAAAGTAATTTCGATATTATTTATTTAGACTTATTTAGGATTTTTTATATATTGGATATAAAAATAATAATCCGATTTTTTAGTTAGAAGGGTTCCCCCCACGAGGTTGTTTTATTGCAACCAAGAAGAGGCTCCTATGTAACCGCTTGTCTGTATATTTTCCAAAGTGGCGGACGTTTGGTTTCATTTTGTTTATATTATTCATTTAAATCAAATTTAACCCTAGCAACGCTCCAAAAACTCATATTTTTTAGAAATAATACGAAGTACGAAGGCTTGAATTGCATATATTTGAGAATGTCAATACAAGGTAGGAAAATACAAGCGAAAAAATCCAAAAATGATCTGGAGTCGACAGCAGATAAAGTGAGACTTATAAAGGAAAGACAGAGTCAGTGGTTTAAAGAAAGAGAAGAAGCAAAAGGATCTAAAGCTCTAGGCTCTGCTAAATCAACGGAAAGTATAAGAGAAAGAAGTAAGCGGAGTTCAGTCCGGTCTTCGCCTATTCCAGACCTTGATATTGATACGTCTTCAAATAGAAGTTCAGCTTCCAAGAGCAGTGGTAGGGACGTCAATCCATACTCGAATCCCAGAAGAAAACCTCTATATACTGCACCTATAAGAGATCACTCGAATATAGTATCCTGGTCAAATAAAGGAGATAATGTGGTAGGAATCAAAAGACCTCCATCAGGTCAATCTAAGAAGAATCCATTATCTAAAACAGCATTGGATAGTACCAGAAGTAATTACTCAAATACTGGAGGTTTGAGAGAAAAGACCTATGAGCCTTCGAATTATAACAGTTCTGCTAAAAATCTAGATGATTCTGTAAGGGATGCTTTCTCTCATTCTACATATAGCAAACTTGAGCCGGTATCAAGAGATTATCCAAGTAAATCATTTGAAAATGGAAGAAGGATTGATCCTGATGTAGACGATAAGAGGGATACAAGTTGTGAGTTTTCTAATCAGAATGTAAATATCTCAGAACTTAAGGCTGTCAATGAAAAAAAAGGAGGGACAAGAAGTGGTCTTGATCAAGACATGATTGATGCTTTAGCAGAAACTGTTGCTCAGAGACTGAAGACTACGATCAGAGGAAAAGAAAAAGATTCACATGGCCAAAACAGTAATGGGGAAGACGATGAAGAAATGTCCACACATCTTTGTCCAGTTTGTAACTCTCTTATGTCTGGGTCTAGACACACGCCCATGGCTCTCATCCCATGTGGACATACATTATGTCAGGTGTGTCTGAGGGACTGTAAGAAATGTCCAACCTGTCAATCAAGAATCAGTTCATCAGCCGTCAATACAGTCTTGCAGCAGATTATTGCTGGTTTTATTGCGCAAAAAGAAAAAAAGAGACTTGAAAAAATGGAAATTGAGACAAGAAAATATGTGGACGAATATCAGTCGTTATCAGTGAGGTCAAATGCTTTGGCAGGTAGTGTACTTCATTTTTTCATCATTGGGTCCCTGTGGTAAATGTTGGGCTTTGACTGGGGGGACGTAGGCAGGCCTTAAGATAATGTAAAGTCAGTCACTGGTCATGATTGCTGGCCATGTGGGTTTAAGCTCAGTCTTAACCAAGGGATACCAAATAAACTCTACTCAAATGAGATGCTTTTTCCAGGAAGCCTGTCCCCAAATCAAAGGCAAGAATAAAGTGCCTATGCCATGCACCATCACATCATAGTTAATAGAGGGAAATGGTTAGGAAACTCTATTGTTATAGGTTATTGTTCACTTTTTTCAAGCGTGACCGTGCACAATCCTTCGTTTTAGCATTGTTTTACCATTGTTGGCAATGGCTGAGTGAACAGACCAAAAATCTTTTGGCAGCTAGTTCAACCGTTCAAAATACTTAAATATTTTAAAGAGATATTTGAATATTCCTTACAACAATCCCATAGTCAAAGTTTATGTTTACTTACTTTGCAATTTCGGATGAGCATAAATCAAACATATTGCACGGTCAAGACCGGTTCAACCTCACAAGTGAACAAAGACCTATAACAATAGGTTTCCTAACCATTCCCCTCTATTAACTATGGTCACATCAAACTTGATTCTCTACTAATACACTAAGTTTTTTCCTCATTATCTACTTTATTATTTATTTTTAGAAGAAGCAGATGCTATACTGAATGGAATGGAAGACTTAACAGAACAATTATTCCAAGAGAAAAAAATGTACAAAAAAATCCAAGTTGATAATGAAGACTTGACAAAGAAAATTCAAGAACTTCAAAAACAATTAGAAAAAAATCAAATCAAAATGACTGAAAGCAAAGAAGCATGTGAAAATCTTGAGAGCCAATACGAGGAAGAAAAACAAAGACTTGCTCTGGTGGAAGATACTGTAAAGACTATCAGACAGAGTAAGGAAAGAGTGAAGATGTTGGTTCATAACTTTGCTCCTTCACTAAATTTAGAACAGTTCGATTAGACCACTTTCTATCTTTGGGGGGGGGGGGGGGAGGATTCTGATTGAAAAAGCTTGGATACTCATTGCACCTTTAAGGTTTTTACGGGCCCAGTTATATGAAGATAGATGAGGCAATAAACCATGTGGGATGTGCTCGGATAGAAAAAAAGTACATTTGTAATAGGTAAATTACGAGCCTTAGATGAAACGACTGAAGAAGAGTGCCATACAAGCCTTTCACAACTTCAAGTCGCGTAAAAAATGAGCCAGCTCAACTAGAAACCATGGACAGCTGTTTTGGCCTGTATTGGGCCTCGTCAGCGCGGTGTACCTAGTGAGCTTGCAATCCCACGAAAAAGTAGTACTACACAGATGAAGCAATAAGCCGTGTGGGATGGGCTCGGATATCATCTGAGGCTTGTAATTTACCTATTATGAATGCAGTTATATGAAGGGTGGATTGCACTATTCAAGAGATAAATCCTTATCCAGTGGATAAGTTGATGCTATTATCCAATAAATGTATTCACGGGATAAGATTTATCCATCGGATAGCACTATCCACGCTTAGTACAAGTTGGCCCTGATCTACAATTTGGTGCCTCTTTGAGTACAAATCTAAGAGGACCACCAGAGATTAAGCCAGTAGCTCTTTGGGTGTTTGTCAGATAATAATAAGATGCCTGAAACAATATTTATACGTTTTAAGAGAGTCAAAACGAATCTTAATGGCTCTTCACTGCCAAAAAATGTTTATAAAGGACTTTAAAGTTGGTAACAAATCTATATTCAAAAGGTTTTGTAAAGTAATTTATTTATTATTAATGGGTTGCCTGTGGCAGCTCAGTCGTAAAATGCCTTTGGTTTTTTTGTATCTGTCATCTGAATGGTCACTTTTATGCAAGTGGTCCTGGTGTGTCCTTACAGTAAATATGGTCAAGGATACTCTTAAATATGGTCATTTGAAAAAAGGATACCCATAAATATGGTCATTTGCAAAAAGGATACTCTTAAATATGGTCATTTGCAAAAAGGATACTCTTAAATATGGTCATTTGCAAAAAGGATACTCTTA